CTAGAGAAATGTGAGCTCTAGAGGACTTTTCAAGGTCAAGAATGTTAAATGGATCCTACACGTGTTGCTACTGCCCATCCTGCCCCCGTGGCAGACATCACTCATCGATTACAGAACTCGTCTGCCTTTGGCTCTTTCAACATAGTTTTCAGTATCAGTGCATGCCATCCTTGGTCCAGTGATAAGTAGCCTTCCCTGCCTCCCAGCCCATTCCTTGCAAAAGAGAGATCTGAGGTTGTAACCCCCTGCCAATCACAGCTCACATGTGTTTAACCTCAGCCAATAGTGCCTTTGCTATGCTATTATATGTATATCTCCAGTGCTTTACAGCATGTGGGCATTTAAACTGTGCACGTATTTATCTAGTGCCGTACCTGCCTTCTGTGCCACCAACCACGGGATCAGGCGTCCAAGCAGTGATTAAATTATTTTTGCTTGCCTTGTGTGGTGTGGGTGTGGGTGTGGGTCTTTTGCCTTCGCATATGTCTCTGTACCATGTGGGTGCTGGGAATCCGATCTGGGTTTCTGGAAGAGCAGCCAATGCTCATAACTACTGAGTCATCTCTCCAGCTCCTGGTTTGCTATTTTGAGGACAGATTTTAGTAGGCTGGCCTCACCCCACTGGGCCTTGAATTCACGATCCTCCTGCCTCTGCCTCCCAAGTACTAGGATTACAGGTGTAACAATGACAGCTCTTGATATATTTAACAATTACAAACTTCAGCATGCATATAAAGTCCGTTTTGGAATCAGACAGTTAAGATCCAATCAGCTAGTGGGCGGTGGTGGCGCATGCCTTTAATCCCAGCACTTGGGAGGCAGAGCCAGGTGGATCTCTGTGAGTTCGAGGCCAGCCTGGGGTACAGAGTGAGTTCCAGGAAAGGTGCAAAGCTACACAGAGAAACCCTGTCTCGAAAAATAAACAAACAAACAAAAGAACCAATCAGCTGCATTTGTTTGGTGGATTGATCATCCCTTCCTTTTCTCTGCCCTTTGAATATATTCTCTAACCATCGATTCCTTTAGTTAGGCCAGTGGTTTTAGGACAAGGTGGTATGGAATCATTTTCATTTTTTCTTCCTCCTCTAAATACAATGAAACTCCTTGCATAAAGGAAGTCTGAGAACCGTAAAACCCGCCTAGGAACAGACTTGGAGTCTCTGCAATGTGGTGGGTCCCCTGCACTTCTTCTGTGTCCCTCATAGCCTAGAGACTGGGCTATGGAGAGGCCTTACACAGAACCAACCTCAGGCAAAGACGAAAAATAAATGAGAAAATGAATGCTTGCTTCCCCAGGAGAAGAAAGAGAAGTCCATTAGAGTACAAGGCAAGAAGCCCTGCCTCCTTCGGGCCCTATAGCCCAAGGCCCTGGGTGGAGCCAATGTCACTACAACATCCTAAGCAAGGAAAGAGAGTCGTCAGCTTGCAGTTATGCGGACACCGTGCACACAGTGATATCAGTAATCAATTCCCCCGAAACAAAAGAAAACATAGAAAACCTGAGTGATGAGACAGACCTGAAAGAGAACCCATCAAAAGTCACGGAAGTAGGGAAGTAGGCTGGCTCACTGGGTAAAGGCGCTTGCCTCTGGAGCCCGGTGTCTTCTGGAGCCCCGGGCCCTCTGGAGCCCAGTGCCCTCTGAAGCCCAGTGCCAAGATGTTAGGAGAGAAGCTGTCGCCACAGAGACGTCCTCTCTTTACACTTATGCCATGGTGCATGCCCTAAATGCATGGTGCACAGATGCATGGATACACACACTCGCACTAATTATAATTTTTTTCAAGTTATAGAAGCAAAAAATACAAAGCGAAACTTAAAACTTGGGTGAACTCAAAAGTGTGATATTTATAGTATCAGAGTCCCAGCAGATGACGACAAAGGTCAAGACAGTTATATTCAGAGAGACAGTGGCTGAACCAACGCCTCCCATTCAGGAGAAAGATGGCCTACAGTTCAAGAAGTAGATCAAATCAAATTTCAAGTATGAGTTGGGAACCTTTACACGTCCTATTTAATCTCCTAGAAAACGAAGATTAAGGGGGAAGAATACCAACCTTAAAAACAGCAAAAAATAGCCAGGAAGGAAAGTCATTCAGGTTCTATTTTTGCATCGGGAAGAAGTGGTAAGCACGTCACGATCTGAGGACAAAGAACTATTAATGCTGGAGCCTGCGATCGTGAGACTATCTTAGGAAGGAGGGGGATGGACAGTGTTCCCAGAGGAGGGACACAAAATTGTGGAGACCTGCGCTCCAAAAGCAGCTCTAAACAAAGACGTGAACAGAGGAGAGAGTGGAGCGTCCAGAAGGGATGAGCCAAGGAGCTAGAACAGACCCACAGCTTTTCAGCTTCTTTACCCCACACTGGCTGGGCAAAACAAAGTAACCATCTTCTGTGGTGCTAAATATTCGTACAGAAACCACTTTTGCATTTTATGACTTTGCCGGGGGGGGGGGGGGGGGGGGGGGGGGGGGGGGGGGGGACACGGGGACGGGGACGGACAGGATGACAATGATGGATTTTTGAGACGGGTTTCTCTGTGTAGCCCTGACTGTCTTGGAGCTCACTTTGTAGACCAGGCTGGCCTTGAACTCACAGATATCCGCCTGCCTCTGCCTCCCCAGCGCTGGGATTGAAGGCATGTGCTGCCACGCCTGGCTCATTTTTGTATTTTAAAAGGAATGAGGAGGGCCTGAGAAGATGACTCAGCGGCTAATGCACTTGCCATGCAAAGCTGAAGACCTGGGTTCAAATCCGCAGAGCCCAAATAAAGTTGGCATGGTAGCTTGTGTCTGTAATTCCAGCCTACTGGTAGGCAGAGACAAGAGACTTCCCAAATGCTCAAGGGTAGGTTAGTCTGGTGTACACACAGCTAACGACAAAAAGACCCTGTCTCCAACAAGGTGGGGAAAGAGATCTGACACTTAGATTGTCCTCTGACCCCAACACACACATCATTTAAGAAATAAAGAGGGCCGGGGAGTGGTGGTGCACGCCTTTAATCCCAGCACTTTGGGAGGCAGAGGCAGGCAGATCTCTGTGAGTTCGAGGCCAGCCTGGTCTACATCTACAAAGTGAGTTCCAGGACAGCCAGGCCTCTGTAGAGAGACCCTGTCTCAAAATAAATAATAAACAAATAAATAAATATAAATGAATGAATGAATGAGAGTAGAGTATTAAAACATGGATTTTTAAACAGCAGTGGTTATGATGATGTCCAATAAAGCAGACCAGAGGAAGACAATTACTAGTGACAAACAGAGGAGATTAAAAGAAGATAAATCAACATACCAAGAAGACACAGTGATCTTAAAGGAGTATGCGCCCAAGGGGAGAGCTTCAAAAACCTGTGACAATGAAGTAAAAATGGACAGGACTGGGAACGGCCCCGTTAAGAGTGCTTGCTGCTCTTTCTGAGGGACAGGGTTCATTTTCCAGTACCCACACAGGGTGGCTCAAAACAACTTCTAAATCCAGATCTGGGAGACATGACAGCCTCTTCTAGTCTCTGTGGGCACCTGCACATGTGTACATACACACACACCAGTAAGAATAAACTCTTTACATTGATAGAGCTGAATGGAAAAAATTGATAAATCCACAAACATGGGGAATTTTGATACCCTGCTTTCAGTGATTGATACTAAACTCAATACACTCGCCTCACTAGGCCGTGTCCTGGATCATGAGGTAACCTTAAAAAGCTTAGAAGAATAGAAGTCACAGGATATGTTCTCTAAAGATCAGTTAACACCACAACAGAAGGAAAACTTCAAACATTTGAAATGGTGCCTGATCCAACCAAATGCTGGGGTAGGTCAGTCAAGTCTCTCCAGGGGGATGGGCTCTCTAAGTGTTGGGAAGAGGCATTTAAGCAAAGAGAGTCAGATTTCTCAGCCAGAGAGGACAAGCATAAGACTTAATGGGAAGAGAGAACTGGGGATATCATTGAGTGGGTGGAATGCTTGCCTAGCATGCATGAAGCCCTGGGGTTGATGCCCAGTAGAGTATAAATCCAGCATGGGGGCCCATGCCTATAATCCCAGCACTGGGGAGGTGGAGGCAGGAGGATCATGAATGTAAGATTACCCTTAGCTAGTTAGCAAGTTCAAGGCCATATATAAATACAAATTTGGACCTAAGAAGATGACACAGTCAAGTGATTACAGCACAAACTGAAAACCCAAGTTTGGATCTTTAGCACCCACATAAAAGCCAGGTGCAGGGGTGGCACAGAGACTGGCAGTTCCCTGGAGCTCAGTGGCTCATCCTCCTAGCTCAATCAGTGAGATCTGGATTCAGTGAGAGACCCTGTCTCAAAAACAAGTAGTCAAGACATTGTCAGATGGTCTCCACACCCCGGGCACGTGTGTATACATACACACACATACACACACACACACACACACACACACACACACACACACACACACACACACAGGCGGACTTCTTCTGTGCCATGGCCACTTCCCAAATAACCAACACGGAGACTCAATTACAAATGCCTGGCTGATAACTCAGGCTTGTTACTAACTAACTCTTACACTTAAATTAACCTTTATTTTTTATCTATGCTTTGCCACATGGCTAGGTACCTTTTCTTAGTACAGCATGTCCATCTTGCTCTCTCTGCATCTCCCAGTGACTCCTCTGATTCCACCCTTTTTCTTCCCATCATTCTGCTAGTCTGGTTGTCTCCCCTATAATTCCTGCCTGGCTACTGGCCAATCAGCATTTTATTAAACCAATTCGTGTGACAAATCTTTACAGTGTACAAGAGGATTATTCCACAGAGCACTTGCATGCATGCATGCATGCACGCACGCACACACACGAATACACAGGCGTATACAGAGAATACAGATAAATGGCTCATCACGTCTTTCTATTGGCTTGCCCTGTTTTACATGCCAAGCTTTATTGTAACATCCTAAGATGGGGCATGTAGTCGCTCTGGAGTGCCTTGAGATTCCAAGCAGTCAAGAAATTCTGGGTCTTCTCTGTGTCTTTTCCATGGTGAGTAACCTTATGTCCAGAGGAAGGGAGGGGGAGGACAGGTAAGAGGAGGAGGAGGCAGAGGAGGAGGAGAAAGGAGGGGATACCCACAGCAGCACTATTCTTTGGAGAGTCTGGGTATCCACTTCTTCCTTCCTTGAAGGCACAGAACCATGTTACTAATCATATCTAACAAAATGCTCAAATGGCCATGCTTTTTACTAGGCATGGGCCTTAGACCTAGCTTTCAAGCCTAGGTTTCTTGTTAATTTTTTAAATTTAAAACATTTTAAAAATTATTATTATGGGGGGGGGAGCTCATGTGGAGGTCAGAGGACGTTTGTGGAGTGGGTTCTCCCCTTCCACCTTCACACGGAGCTCCAGAGATCAAACTCAGTCCGTGTCTATCAGGCTCACAGCTCCACCTGCTGAACCACCGCACCCCCCCCTGCTAATGTCTTGGTGGCACAGATCACTTCCCCTTAGACTCCCACAAAGCCTCAAAGCTGGCGGCAGAAAAACATCATTTCCAGAGACGTTAACGAGCCCTGGGCTCCCTGTGTGGGTCTTCATCTCCTCCCCGAGCTGAGCCTTCATTGGTGGTCCGTGGAGTTGTCAGGGCTTTGGTATAACGCTGCTATCGATGTGCTATCATAAAAATGACATACCTATTCTTGCTGGGAGATAAGGTATCTTGTTGTGTTTCTGATATAGCGCCTTGAATTCTTGAAGGAAAAAAAAAATCAGAAAGGATTGCCAATGTGGGCACACGGGAATGAGAGCTGAAATTCTAAATCCTAAGGATGGCTTAGAAAAGGGGGGGGAGAGGGGACCTTTAAAACACTGCTCACAGCTCCCCTGAGCTGTACTGCCTGGCTTGTTTGTTGAGGCAGGGTCTCAATACTAAGTAGTCTAGGCTGTGCTCAAATGAGTCATCCTCCTGCCTCAGCCTCTGTACCAATACTCTCTAGTTGGAAGAATCGTCTCTAGATGGGGCCAATCAACCACACATAGGATCACACTGCCCTCCCCCATGTTTATGCATTCAGCCTTTCTTATGAGTTGGGGCGGGGGGTGCTGCCCAGTGTTTTCTGACATTGACTGGGTAGTTATGACTAAGATGCCTGCCTTTGGCCGTCCCACAGTTTGCATCTGGGGGCTGTGTTCGTTGTGTGGGTTTTTCTCCGAGTGACTGATGATTTACGTGATCTAACTGCAAAGGGATCAGCCTCTACGCTGAGCACAGACTAACTTCAGGTATCCCTGGAACTATGACAAGAGTGGCCACGCACCTGCCAGTCCACCTCCGACACCCTGCGGTCATAGTGAGGTTTGCGGTCACCCAGCCTCTTTAGAATGCCCTGGTTTTCCATGGTGATTCTCACTAGCTCTCGGTTCCTTGCTTCTCTGTTTAAGCTGAAAAACACAAAACCACTAGCATGGGTGAAGAAGAAAGCATTTCTCCTGGATGGGACGAAAGAGGAGAAGGAAGGCCTAGGACAGTGCCCTCCGGAAAATACAGGAAGCATTTACAGGTCTCCGTCAGTAGCCCTCAGCCCCATTGTCCTGCTGGAAGAGTCTAATGTGTTGATATGGGAGAGCGAGCTTAGGTCTTAGTGTCGAGCTAGACTGCACTCCGACTCTAAATGACCTCATGGTGCATAAGACAGCCGTTTTCACCCTGGGCCTTGCCCTGAGAGACTCCACTTCACCAGCAGCTTTTGACTCTATTTTGAGGCTAGAAGATGAGGCTGTACCTCATCTTTGAATAGCACTGTCTGTCCAGTGCCACTCACAATGTCACAGACGGCTAATCTGCTTATTCTGGAGTAGAGAGGTTCCCATTCTGTACATTCACAGAGGTGAACTGGAGTGGTAGAAGCACATGGGTGCATTAGATCCTCAAGAGAAACACTAGGCTCAAGAACCAGACTCAGGGGCTGGAGAGATGGCTCAGAGGTTAAGAGCACTGACTGCTCTTCCAGAGGTCCTGAGTTCAAGTCCCAGCAACCACATGGTGGCTCACAATCATCTGTAATGAGCTCTGGTGCCCTCTTCTGGCCTGCAGTCATACATGCTGTATACATAATAAATAAATAAATCTTAAAAAAAAGAAGGAAGAAAGGAAGAAAGAAAGAAAAAAGAACCAGACCGGGGAAAGGGTGTAGCTCTCTCACCCAGATCCCATAAAGAAGGTGACAACTTGTTTTAGATGTTGATGGTCCCAATTACCTGTCATCTGACCAGATATGTGGGTCAAGGGACGAGCTGAGAACTGACTGTCCCGGGGGCTTCAGGACAGTGCAGTTCCCTCTGTTAATACTTGAATTGTATCTGGTTTTCCTGTTCGCCCATCTGGACCTGAAATCCACCAGTCCACCCATCTAGACCAGGTCTGACCCTTTTGCCTCAGAAGCTGGCCTCAACTCTACAGCTCAAGCTGACCCTGCTACATGATTCTTCTGCCCTTAGCCCCAGCAGCCTCTCCAAGACCCCCATCTGGGTTATCTCATCAAGACAGAGACATGAGACCTTATCAACCTCCCAGCTCTGGCCTCTCAGGCCTTTAAAATATGTGTGTGACTTTCTTCTTTAAGTCTCTGTCATCATTCTGTAACCCACACATATGCGTGCATAAGGAGACATTCACTGTATGGCCATGTAGTGTGTAGACTGAGAGTTAATATAGTAACTAAGATAGGAATAAGAAGTCCTGTTTATCTCAGGCAGGGAGATTCAAAAACAAAGTGGTAGTATTTGTCAAATTGCTCCCAACAATAGCTCAGGACTTGTGAATTTATTATTGACAAATCCAGATGTGTGGAAAGACACAAATGTGCTCATCTGGGTTTCTGACAAAATGAGCTCAGCATGTTGTTAACATTTACCGAGGATTATAGAATGTGGAACCAGGATTGGAAACTTGGCTTGTGTAAGCATGGAAGGCTCCCTATGGATAATGCACACATGCCTGGAGTCAAGTTTGGTTCATCTCCCTTCCCTTGACTTTCAGTTCTGTTTGTGATTTCTTGGTAGATACAGGAATTCTGCCCCCCCTTCCCCCTCTCTCCTTCCCCCTCTCTCCTTCCTCTACGCATACACGCCACCATCCTGGTGTATGCTTTCCTTCCCCTCCCCACACTGCTTTAGCAGGGGTTTTTACAAATGTTACATCTTAGATTGCAGGTGTTTGGGGTTGGGAAATAATGGTCCTCGTCTCATCTCTCTATTTCTGGAGGCACCTAGCATGTAGCACTTGGTCAAGGGTTTTCATGGCACTGATTATTGGAGTGTCCTAGCATAGTCTTGGTTATGATGCTAAATCCAAATGTTTGCGGATCCCCCCCAAATCCATATGCTTGACTGCTAACTCTCAAGGTGATAGTAAGAGGTGAGGTTTTGAGGATGGGATTAACACCCTCATAAAAGAAGTTGGGGGGATGGGTGGCAGTGGCGCATGCCTTTAATCCCAGTACTCAGGAGGCAGAGGCAGGCGGATCTCTGTGAGTTCAAGGCCAGCCTGGTCTGCAAAGCAAGACCCAGGACAGGCACCAAAACTACACAGAGAAAACCTGTCTTGAAAAAAAAGAAAGAAAGAAAGAAAGAAAGAAAGAAGGAAGGAAGGAAGGAAGGAAGGAAGGAAGGAAGGAAGGAAGGAAAGAAAGAAAGAAGAAAAGAAATTGGGGGCGCGAACTCCTGCCCCTCTGCCTTGAGGCTCCAATGCAAAGATGGCTGTCTCTGAAGAAAGCAAACAGCCTCCACACCAAGCCAACCCAGAATCCACTGGTGCCTCCCTCTATCTCTGGATTCCCCAGTCTCCAGAACTAAGAAAGAAACTGTTGCTCACTGCCTTGCACCTGAACCAACACTACATGTGAGCATTCTGCAGAGGTACACAAGTGTGTGCTTGGGACAAGCTCTGAAGAGAGCTAGAGGAACTCTCTTAAAGGACAGCAAAGGTAGACTTGAACTCTGGGGAAAGGTTCCTGCTTTCAGGGAAGCTGTCAATCTTGTAGCATGGTCCCTTGCTTCTCTCCACAAGAACATCCTTCGAGTAACCCTCTCTGGCTCCAACCCCAAGGGAAGGTTGCGTTTCCTGAGAGTGAAATGCAGAGAGAGAGACAACACTACCTTTTCGAAAGATACTCATTCCAGCAGTCCACCTTGGCGGGGCCGCGATGGGCGTTGGCGATTTTCTGGCATAGTTGTTTATTTTCATATTCGATCTTGTCAATTCTCTTTTGTTCACCCTGGCAAGAAACCCCGTCGTGATGACGTCACCACTGTGCTACCTCCACACAGTGGCTCGAGTCACCTTCCTCTGGGACTTGGAGGGAAAAGGGGCCACATTGAGAGCCCTGGTGGAGCCTGGGGCAGAGCTTGGGGAAACTGGGGGTGAATATCAGGAGAGGAGTGCTAATGAATCTTTAGTTCGGTGGGTATTTAGAAGGCTCCAGGAACTGGGTCTCTTTAGAACAAAGATTAAAAAAAAAAATCAGTAAAATACCTGGAGTTTGCTCAATTTTAAAATGTGATGTGTGTGCGCCACTGGAGGTCTGGTATCAACAGCAGGCTTCACTGGAGGATAAAGCATCATTACAGTTCAGGAGCCGAACAGCTTTAGGAAACCACCAGGCCACCCGACCCCGACCGCTGAACATTCTGCTTTTGAGTTTTGACGGAGATCCAGTCTAGCAACTTCAGTTAGGTTTAATTTCCCCCTCTGACATCTCTGGAGAATTCAAGACGGCTTCGTAGTGAGGGCTGGCGAACCCACAAAGATGGGTAGGGAGGCAGTTCAGTAAAGAGTGCCAGTCGCTCAGCACACCGGAGACCCCGGGTTTGATTCCACCCCACCCCCACCCCCACCCCATTGTCTAAACCAAAGTGGTGACAAGCAGACCTGTAATCCCAGCATTCCAGAGGTGGAAGCAGGACAACCAGGTGTTCAAGGTCATCCTTGACCCTCAGTCAGCTCCTGGCCCACCTTGGCTACGTGAGCCCATCTCAAAATTCATAGAGATAAATTTCCTTTCAATCTAATGAAATAACATTTTTCCCCATCCCTTCCCAGCATTACTAGATAGTCTATTGGGCACTGCATTCACATTCTCTAACTGGGGCTCTGAAAAGTTTAAACATTGCTTCTTTCTCGCACACAGACACTCAGGTAGAAGGTAAATGTTGTCACTGATCACCATGCCCTCTTGGCCAAACTCAGGCAGATAAGGCAGATAAGGCCATATCACCCCAAAGCCAGGGCTAGTGGAGTCTCCCGGCACCACTTCTGTGGTGGATCCTTCTAGAACGTCAAACAGCGATGCCCATCCCCAACTGCCCACGTACCTATTTGTACTCTATTCTTGTGTAATATGTAGTGGCCAAAGTCCAGTTTCTTCCTGAAGGTTGTGCTTTGCCTGTGATTAGAGACGATAACAGGGTAGGCCAGGTAATCCAGGGAATTGTTCATTTTCTCCTCCTAGTCTCACTTCAGAAATGAGACACCTTGACTCCTCTGTGAGGCACTTAGCTGTCCCTATGATGGGGTGTCATAGATACCCAGTTGTGACATCAGGGACAAGTCTCAGTGGAGGCATAGGAGAAGAGCATGCCTAGCTGTCTCTGGGCACCTACAAATTTTTAAGTTGAGATAAAATTTCTGTATGTTGATGGGGTGTGGAATAATCCGGTACTTATATGCCCTGTGTTACAAATGGATTAGGGTAAGTAGCATCCTCTCTCCCCTCCAGCAGTCCCAGTTCTGTGCTAATCAGGTCCACGGCAAGATGAAGGGAAGCTCCCCATCCGTCTGGAAAGTTGATGTTGCAAGGCTGGAAATGTGTGGTGTGGAGGGCCCTGGCTAGCTAGCACAGGCAGGCACTCAGGGAGGGAGGAATTCCAGCCCTCCTCACAGCCTTTGAGCTATGAGCTAAGAAGCCAGAGTCTCCTGTAATGTTTCCCTTGAAGATGTGAGACCATCAGCTTTCATGGGGGGTGAAAAAGGATGCGGCAGTGAACACTTGTAATCCTAGCACTCCGAGAAGTGGAGGCAGGAGGATCAAGTTCAAAGTTATCCCAGGTTGTATAGAAAATTCAAAGCCAGCCTGGGCTACATGAGACCCTCGTCTCAAAAAACTGAAGCGTGAAATAAAAATCAAAAAATATAAGACCAACCTTAGTGAGTGGTGGAGTCGGACTCAGGGTGTGGATTCCTGGATTCCAGACACTGTATTTACCGCTTTGGAGTTAGGGACTCTTGTCATTTTCCATGGCAACTGAGAGACACTTTTATTAAAGTAAGCTACTGTGAGCCAGGCAGGGGTGGCACTCGGGAGGCCGAGGTAGGCGGATCTCTGTGAGTTCGAGGCCAGCCTGGTCTACAGAGTGAATTCCAGGACAGGCACCAAAACTACACAGAGAAACCCTGTCTCGAGCCCCTCCCCCGCCCCCCCCCCCAAAAAAAAAAAGTAAGCTGCTGTACTCTTTGCCCTTGGCTAGAAAGGCAGGAGAGGATCTGCTACTGACACCTTGTGGCTCATAGTGGGATGGCAGCGGCTCCAGGAGGCTCTGTGAATGAGGGCGTGGAGGACGAATTACCTCCCCGCTAGCCCAGGGCCCGTTAACGCAGGCGCAGCCCCAGGGAGCGTTCAAAGCATTCACTGATAAGTGCTTCTGGTACCACTACGCCTCTTTATTCAGTGCTGGGAACTGAACTAGGGTTTTGTGCATGCTAGATACCTTAACAGCTCAGGAACCTTCTCGGCCCCTCGAATGTTTCTGGGGTTTTTCCAGCAATCCTTAGAAGTTCGGTATTGCACATTCTTTACTGCAGTGCTCGGGACAGAAGTGTTTAGGATTTTAGAATATTTTAATGTATATAACGAGGTATTTAGGGAGTGAATCCAAGTCTAAACATGAAATTCATTGATGCTTCACATATAAAATTGTATCCTGAATATAATTCTCTATAGTAATTTTCAGTGCACCTGTGTTTTGTCTGTCATCCGTCACAGGTCAGGTGTGAGAATTTTCCACTTGCATTGTGTTTACATTCTAAAGTTACAGATTTGTACACACTTCGGATCTCTAAAATTATAGCTGCTCAAACTATTATTGTGACACCATAACCCCCTCCTCCCTTTGCCTCGCCAGCAAACAGGCTAAGATTAAGTAATCCCCCGGGGTCAGAGGCCAGTGCTGGCGACCTATAGTCCCAGCTTTAAAAGCTCAATGCTGATTCATAACGAACATTGAAAGAAGTGTCCCAGCGCAGGGCTCTTCCCTGTGACCTTGGGTAAGGATCCATCTCCTGGGGTGGGGAATTCGTTCAGCAGGTGTGTGTAATGGGAAGATATGTTCCGACCCGTGTCTATTTGGGGTGAGGGAATGGGTGCCGACGCGGCTGGTTTGCAGCCAGAAGGGTTCACAGCAAACCCCAGGGGTCCTCGTTATCCCCAAAGAGCTACACCAGGTATACCCCAGGCGTCCCGCATCGGGTCCAGTAAAGGAAGTGCCTGCGCTCCCCTGCCTTTGCTAGGGTGAGAGAGGACTGGAGACACGGGAGTGACGATATCTCGGTCGGGGACGTGCCCCAGGGTCCTGCGGCGCGTGGGCCGGCCGCGCGTGTCCTCTGCGCAGCGCAGCGCAACGCCGCGCCGCGCCCGCAGCTTCTGGCACCCGGCGGGCCCGCCTCCGGGGCGGGACGGGGAGGTTTTGTTGGGCAGCCCCGCCCCGCTGACCCGGCTTCTCCCCCTGGCTCGCTCCTGCCCCGGCGTGCAGGGCCCCGCCGCCGCCATGTCCGGCTCGTTCGATCTCTCGGTGCAAGATCTCAACGACCTGCTCTCGGACGGCAGCGGCTGCTACAGCCTCCCGAGCCAGCCCTGCAACGAGGTCGTCCCGAGGGTCTACGTGGGCAACGCGTGAGTCTCCCGGAGGGCCGACTCGGCTGCAGCTCCCCGGGCGCCCCGCCCACTCGGGGGCTGGAGTGGGGTCCAAGGGCGTGGATGGGGGCGGGGGAAGCTGGGCGCGGTCCCCGACCTAAGAGCAAGAACGGGAGGGGGAGGGCTGGGGACCGGGCTGGAGTCGACACCCACTCCCCGCGCGTGAAGCCGAGCTGGTCCCTGCATGCCCTGAGACTCCAAGGTGCCCGGCCCTGTCCTGGGCCATCACCCACTCTGGCTTCGGCTTAGGCGGGGTCGAGGCTACCACGTTCTCTTAACAGGTGGCAGGGCTGTCTCTTGGCCGCGCGTCATGTGACAGCTGCCTAGCTCTGCAGTGAGGTCACCGTGGAATGTCTGCCTTCGTTGCCATGGCAACGGGATGACGTTACAATCTGGGTGTGGAGCTTTTCCTGTCGGTGTCAGGAAATCCAAATACTCTAAAATACCCTAAAATAGGAAGTAGCTGAACCATGGCTTTCCTGGCTTCTCCAGATAAGGTCTGACTTAGATGGCATAGATCACTTAAATGTTAAACTCCATAGAAGACCTGAGCCATCGGAAAATTCCTCTTAATCGCACGGCCAGGAAATGTGCATATTATTGATCTCTTATGCGTCCTTCAGAAAAAATTTTTTTTAGTCATACTATTAATAAGAATTTCTCCGCAGTGGGAGAGAATCAGTGTTAACACCGAAGGAAAGGCTGGCGTGACCCACATTGGGGGAAGGTCCACACTGGATTTTCACGAGTGTTAAGACCCATTTATCAAGGCCATAAGCTCTGTGGGTCCAGTTCAAGGACTACTTTTCAAAACTGATAACCAAGTGTTCCTCATAGTCACACAGTAGGAAGTGGTGACCTGGGGTGGTTGAGGGGTGTGAGAACTTTTCAGTGTCTCACATGTGTGTGTGTTTCCTGTCCTGCACCTAGGACCTGCAGTGGAACCGGAGGGGTTCACATGGCAGGTCCCAGACACTTGGGGACAGCTTGCATGCACTGCATCACTCATTCCATCTGGAGTACCTACTATGTGTTACACACCACATGACATTCATTCACTAGTAATGGCGGTGGTAATGATAATGGTGTATTTATTGACTGTTGGATTGGTGTTAAGGAATGGAGATGTATGGGCACACTGCTCTGTATTGTCAGCACTGGGAATGGCTGAACAGACTCACAGGGTCAGTCTTGAAGCTCAGTCACTGCAAAGTCCTAGGGAATCCCTCCCTACCCCAACTACCCAAGTAGCCAGGAGTCTTGACAGTCTCGGGAGCCCGCTTCCTGGGGGACAGTATGTTGCAATTGTCTGTAGCAGCTTCTCTGGGCGGGTGGTGGCCATGGCGGCAGGTGTGACTGCTGCCATGGAAAACACATTCTTTGCCCTCTATGCAAATCTGACCTTGATGTGGGGGGCACAGAGCCAGGAGGATCCTCTGTGTACCTAGTGCCAAGAAGTGGGCTTCCTCACCCACCCGGAGCTCCTGGACAAAGGGGCTTCCACCACTTCCTCTCAGGGCAGTGAGGGAGTCCGTGTAAGCTGCCTTTCCGATCTCTGGGTTTTAAAGGTGGTGTGGGGGTGTGAGGAGCAGAGGCAGGTAGGAGGCAGAGCGTGGCTGAGTGTCTGAGAAAGCTTGCCTCCCAGCTCTGACTCAGCAGCCTATGTGAGCACGTGCATGTCCCCTGCCTGTCCTATCCTGCAGGGTTTCAGCTCTGTTCACCGGGGACAGTCCTGTCCTCTCCTTCAGGCTGCCCTAACAGGCAGACAGGACCACGCAGGAGACATTGCTTTGTCAAGTACAAACTCCTGCTTAAATTGGGATGTTGTGAGAGGAAGTGAAGGAGGACCTCTGTGACCATCAGTCAAGAGACCTTCTAACTCCCATCATTTGGGGGTGGGGGTGGGGAGGCACTGCTTACTCCTTAAGTGCTGAGCCATTCCAGAAAGCCCCAGAAATATAACCAATAAAGTATGGCAGAACTGCTCTTTCAGGGAACCTGCCATATTTCATATGAGAGTTTCATTCTTCACTCATTCACCATACATTTGTTCAGTACTATGAGTCAGGCATGGTAGTAGGTACTGAGGGGACAGACCACTCAAGGGACTCACAGACTGAAGCCCTGAACAGATATCATGGGATATAAACACCACAGAGTCAAGCTCTGTCAAGAGAACAGCCCCCTTTAACACCCAGGACTCCCCCAAGTTGGCACTGTTATCCCCATTTAACAGAGAGGAAAACTGAGGCACAGAAAGGTTAAGTGGCTTGCTTAAGTTTGCCTGGCCGGTAAATGGCAGGGCTGGGTTCAGATTCCAGGGTCTATATTTCTTTTGTTTTGTTATTTGAATCTGGGCTAGCCTCAAACTCCTGATCCTTTTCCCATGGCCTCCTGAGTGCTAGAATTACAGGTCTGTGCTACCGGGCGTGGCCATAGCTTGTCTATCCCATCATCACAATATAGAACTGTGATGCCACACACACTGGAAGGAGCCGGGGAACCCCCACAGGGGCGATACCTACCCAGAGGTAGCGGAGGGAACAGCGTGGGCCTGGAACCACAAGTCTATTTGGGGAAGCTGCCGGTAACTGGATATGGCTGGGGTGAGGGGAGAGGTCATGAGATGAGGCAGGAGGAGGCGCAGGAGCCAGCAGGTACAGTCTCCTTGCTTTGCCAAGAGGCTCAGGTTCTTCCCTTGCGGGGCTACCTCTTCATTTTCTGCCACTGCCTCCCCTCCAGGTCTGTGGCTCAGGACATCTCCCAGCTGCAGAAATTGGGCATCACCCACGTCCTGAATGCTGCCGAGGGCAGGTCCTTCATGCACGTCAACACCAATGCCAACTTTTACAAGGATTCCGGCATCATCTACTTGGGCATCAAGGCCAATGATACGCAGGAGTTCAACCTCAGCGCCTACTTTGAAAGGGCGGCGGACTTCATTGACCAGGCCTTGGCGTACAATAACGGTAAGGGAGCTACAGCCAGGACCCGTGGGAGGTGGCTTGGGCTTGGGCTGGCCTAGAAAGCAGACCTCATCAGCTCTCCCTCTGGACGTTCTGTTGTTTCCTGTCCCCTGTGGCAATGACTGAGGACTTTAAGACTCTCTTTGCCTGGCAACCCCAGTGGCCTCACATCACACAAGCAATTCAACTCTTCACACAGCGGCGGCACCAGGGTCCTTGCCTTTAGTTTGACTTGGGCAGAGAGTGGTTTCCTGCCCCTTACCCCCAACTCAGATACCCGTGAGAATGACAAAAGCTTGCTAATGTCAGATGGAAAGTCCTGAAGTGAAGGAACGCTGAGGCTGGTTGATTCAGTAGCTCAACAGATCTGGTCACCACAGCTTATATTAGTTACATTTATATGGTGGCGACCAGAATAACCGAGAGAACAGCTTGGAGGAGGAAAGATTTTTTTTTTTTTTTTGGTTTTTTTCGAGACAGGGTTTCTCTGTGTAGCTTTGCGCCTCTCCTGGAACTCACTTGGTAGCCCAGGCTGGCCTCGAACTCACAGAGATCCGCCTGGCTCTGCCTCCCGAGTGCTGGGATTAAAGGCGTGCGCCACCACCGCCCAGCTGGAGGAAAGATTTTTAATTTATGCCTTCAAGGGTCTTCGGGCTGTTGGGACCTGGTCCTGTGTGCACAAAGTGTCAGGACAGTGGAAGTGTGTGAAAGCGGACGCCCTTTACCTCACAGCAGACAGGACACAGGCAGAGGCAGAGTGGGGAGGTGATTATGGGTCAGCTGTACCCTTCCAACGCAAGCCCTCTGGGACCTGCTTCTTCCAAAGAGGCTCCACTTGAAAAAGTTTCCAGAAACATTCCAAAGTAATGCTACCAACTAGGAATTAAGTGTTTTGTGTGTGAGTTTATGGGGACCATTGCATAGAGTGTATGTATTCCATAGAAAAAGGATGATATTTCAGACGTACACAGTGCAGCAATTAAGTATCAATGCCTCTTTCCTTTTGATTTAGTGTGCCCATTTGTGTATGTGCGTGTGTATGTGCGCGCGTGTGTGCATGTGTATGGGTGTATGCATGGATATGCATGTGTGTGCCTGTGTTCATGCAAGTGCTTGTACATGTGTATGTCTGTATGCATATGCACATGTTTGCACATGGAAGCCCGAGGTTGATACTACACGTGTCTTCCATCGCTCTCCACCTTAGAGACAGGGTCTCTCCCTGATCCTGGATCTCTGATTCATCTAGGCTGCTGGCCAGTGAGCTCCAGGGATCCACTTTTCTTTACCTCCCTAGGCCTAGACTACAGGTGTTGCTGCTGTGCCAGGCCTTTATGTGGGTGCTAGGGATCTGAACTTAGGCACTGCTGTTTGAACAGCATGAAGACTACGCTGTAGCCCCAACCCATTTCTTTCTTTTAAGAAAGAGTAAATGAACCATTCCCCGAATTCCCCCAGTGGGGCTTTCCTACCCTTTTCTTGACTAGGCACTCATGAGTGGCTGGCCACCTCACCAGGGGAGTGAGCGGCCATGACCGGCTGAGGGTCCACAGCCGCAGCCTAGAGATCCCAAGGTAAATCTTCCTGCCACTCAGTCCCTGCACCTGCAGACACTGAAGCTGGGGCTGAAGGAGGGCCGCCTAGTGACCAGACAAGACATCAGAGAGTTGAGAAGTCCTAGATGGCCGCAGGGCAGAGGTCTGGCTCTCCGGGCTCTTCCCACACATCTTCCTCCCTCTGTAGGGAAGAGATGACCCACTGCAGATGTGACTGGCCTTATTTGCGTATAGGTGTGTCTGTACACACATACAGGTCAGGACAGTGGAAGTATGTGAAAGAGAACGCCCCTTACCTCACAGCAGACAGGACACAGGACACAGACAGGACACCCATACATACACTATGCATAGGTGCTTCCTGGCCCAGCAGCTTCCCTGTCCAAGTGATTCTCAAAGAGAGCTCCCTACTCACTGGAAGCTCAGCACATATTCTGGGCTTGCAGAAGATCTGTTGGCTCGGAAAACTTCAGACTTTAAGGCCAGGGCCTTATGGTCCCTCGTGGTCCCTGTCACACCAGCCCCGGTGCCTTTCCCTCCGAAGCCATTCTGTGCCTCTCATTCTGGATAGATGGAGAATGTGGCCCAGTTAGTCAGGGGAGTGGGTGTTGCCATCTTCACATAGCAGCAGTTGGTCCTATGTTCAGGGAACCCTGGAGCATTCTGCCTTTATTTCCCTTTCCAGACAACAGGGAACGTGCACGGGCTTGTTTTGACCTCTTGCTTTGGTATGCACCAAATCTTTGGCCTGGAATGTTTTCTGCCTGTTTCTCCCCATTCTCTGGCAAACCCTACCTCATACCTTTACCACTGGGCATTGTGTCGTCCTCTCTTTTATGAAGCCTGCCCCCAGACTGGTTCATGGGGACCAGTGGTGTCCCTGATCTTGCTCCAGTACTTGATGTAACGTTGGGTACATTCTACAGTGGGTTCCTGTAGGTAATTGCTGAACAAGCAGAATGTGTCCCAAGGCCTTGGTGCCTTGGAGATATACGACTCAAATGGAATGGGTACTGGCCTCCAACCACTTGCAGGACTCTGGGAAACAGGAATCCATTCCTAAGAAAGCCAGGAGTTGGAGGCTGGGGAGGTATTTCAGCAGGTAAAGCAAGTAAGTACTTGGTACCCAACCATGAAGACCAGAGTTTGGATTTCCAGAGCACACATCGAGTCTGGGTAGGCCATGTTGTCTGTTTGTAATCCTGGCACTCAGGAGGCAGACACGGGATCCTCAGAGCAAGCTGATTAGCCAGACTAGCAAAACACCAAGCTCTGGGCTTGTGAGAGATCCTGCCTCAGTATACAAGAGAGAGAATAAATAATTAAAGAAGACACTAGATGTCAACCTTGAGCCTCCACACGCATAAATGGACACATATATGCACTCACACATATGTGAACAGGCATACACACTCAGGCATATCACACACATAATTAGAGGAAGAGACGGGGGGAGAGAGGCAGGAGCATTGGGGGACTCCCATCTCCTGATGGAGGAGGATCTCGGGAAATAGAGGAGCAATTGGGGGTAAGCGTGATGGGTGCAGAGAAGATGCTGTTAATTCTGGGTCCAAAGTTTCCTTCCAAATAACGCCTGTGAGGAGGTGTAGATGGTGGCCATTCACTCACTCAGCAACAGAGGATGCTCAGGGATGCAGGAAACGGCAGAGCATCCAAAACCTAGCACCACAACCCTTGATTTGGAAGAATACACCCTTCAGAAGGAGAGGGGATCTGTATGTGGCCAGCAGAGGCACAGGTGCTTGGGGCCCCTGGGGGACTCCCAGTACTGGTGATGTTTATTGAGTGCTCTTGTGTGCCAGGCACTAGCCTGGGGCTTTGTCTCTGCCTCTGTTTTGTTTTGTCTTTGAGACAGAGTCTTGCTATGTACCCTGACAATCTTGGAACTCACCCCCAGGGGTGGGGGTGGCAGTGGGTCTCAGAAGCCACGCTTCCGAGACTAGCTTCCACCCTGCGGATGACAAGTCAGAGTGGTGTTTCTGGAGGATTTTCCAGCTTCCGGGAGGAGTGCGTGTGGATTGGCAGTGAGTGGCGAGGGTAGAGGGTGAGCTCCATTTGTAGGAGGAGAGGCTGGGGAGGCACTCGTGAGAGATGGCAAGCGTGTGAGTTGAGTACTGTGTGGGGAGCCTGCTAAAGAGAGAAGCTGGGCTTTGGCCCCTCCTGGGGGGGTGGGGGGCTCCCTGCAAGGTGATGGGACTTTCCTGCCAATGACCTTTGGCCCCTCCCTCCCTCCCCCCCCCATCGTTTCTTTCCTTGCCCTGAGGAATTCTGAGTTTACATTTCACTGGTGATGAAAGAGTGAAGCAGACAGAAACAGAAGACGTGAGTGTGGCAATGGGAATGGTGTGGAGTCTGCGGGAAGCAGGCAGGAGAGGCTGAGGGCCAAGGGGAATGCTGGGAAAGAGGAGGGTGGGACGACAGACTGAGGGCAATTTGGGGGAGCCACAAGAGGGCGTGTGTGTGTGTGTGTGTGTGTGTGTGTGTGTGTGTGTGTGTGTGTGTGTGTGTTGTTT